TAACCTATCTTTCCTGCTTTATCTCATACTACTCTTTTTTTTTTTTTTTTGCATTCTATACTCCAGTGCAACACAGGCCTATTAATTAGCTGTTGTCCGGTCTTATTATGTATCTTTTCATTTTCCTACATTAGGGTAGGACAACCCCCATTCTTAGAACTTACTCCTTTCTCATCTGTGCCTGGTGAAATCTTTCTCTTCAGCGCCTGACTCAAGTGACACAACCTCCATGAAATCTCTGATTCCTTCAGATAAACGTAATCACTCCCTATTTAGACTTTCTTAGAGCACTTTGTCCAGAGATTCCCCTGCCCCACCATATTCTACCTTGTATCATACTAACTTATCATGTTCGTGCTCTATCCCCCACCCCCAATTAAATTTTAAACTCCTTGAGGGAAGACAATTATATGGTTTGTCTTTGTATTCCAGAGCCTAGCACAATGCCTTGAACATAGTTGGTACAATAAATGTTCGATAAATTGAAATGATTTCCTCCCTCTTTTCCCCAGGGAAACTTTGGCATAATTCTTCCATTACCTGACCTTGAAAAATAGAGTCAAGGATGTGTGTGTGTATGTATCTACTTTTTGTATCTGTGTTCTATGCCTGTTTGTATGCACTTTGGATGACCATGTTTTGCTGTCTCGATGGTATGTAGATATCTGTCTGTTATATGTATGCTGGCTATGTGTGTCCCCAGGGTGAGGTTTGAAGGTTTCAAGCTCAGTCTCTCCATCCCTTTTTGTGTAATGCTCTATTCTGCATCATTCTCCACAAGACCCCTGCCTCTCTCCAGTCTTGACCCACTCTGCTCCTCTCCACAACCACCCTCAGCTGCATCATCAGTCAAGCACCCTCAACAATCAAATGCTTAACACCTGACTAAAAGACACATCCATTGCTATTTAAAGTGCTTAATGATCTTCAGTATCTGTAATATCAGAACGTTTCAGTTCAACATCTGTTACAATTCATTTATTCAATACGAACTTACTAAGTGTCTACTAGATGCCAAGCACTATGCTAGGCACCAGTGACACAAAGATGGAAAAATAACAGTACTTACCCTCAAGTAATTACAATCTATTAGGTATGACACAAAATACAGTATGACTATATCTCTACTGACCTCCAGAAGCTTCAGCGTCTCCCTGTTGCCTCTAGAACAAAGATGAACTCTTGTTTGGCATTTAAAGCCCTTTCCAATCTGACTTCCACATATCTTTTGAGACCCATTCCATATTACCCCCTTTCCTAGATTCCACAATCCAGTCAAATTGGCCTCCTTGGAACATGTTTTCTGTATACTATATTCCATCTCCTGTCTCAATCTCTGTCTTCCCCTTCTCCTCTTGAAATTCTAAGTCTGTCTGTTACATGAGGATTTTCTTGGTTTTCTTTGTTGTTGGTCTATACTCAAGCCTTGTATAAGGCTTTGCATGTATTTTGCATTTACTTATATGTGATACGTTGTTTTCCCTCAGTAGAGTGCACACTCCTCAAAGGCATTTTTCTCTTTATATACCTCCTATACTTAGCAGTGTTTGGCACATAGGCAATTACTAAATTCTTACTGAATTAAATTGAGTAAGAGCAAAGGACAGATAATATTCACATTAATATACTGAATGAGGGTTTGACAAAGTGCTTTCCTCAAAGTAGCCCTGTGAGATACAGAATACAAGTATTATTATCTCCCTTTTTCTTAGCAGAGAAGGGAAGTTTGAGTGGACCAGGAAAGGTTTGATGGAGGAAGGAGGGGCCTTCCAGGGAGAGCATTTCAAATGGAGGAGATGAGGAGGAGGGAGGGCACTCTTAGCATAAGGAATGACCTGAGTGATGATGGCACAGAGGCAGGAGATGTCACATCTCATTTTTCTCAAGTCATTACTCTAATCTGGATCCAAGAAGGAAGGTGAGCCTCTATATTCCAAATTAAGTCCATTTTATGCATGTATTCATCAAAATATGTATTGCCAATTATTTTAATTAAATAAACATTTATTAGGGACCTACTAGGCCCAAGGTGTCCTGCCATACAATTAGCATTAGAATTTCAGATACCCAAGGTAAGCAGCATTGGATTTGGAAGCTGGTAGAAACCAAGGTAAGAATCCTGATTTTCACGCTTACTAGCTGTGTAAACATGAGCAAATCACTCAATCTCATGAAGCTAATCTCCTGATCTGTAAACTGGAAATAATAATATATGTACTACCTATTTTTACAAGGTTACAAGAAAAGAACTTTTTAACCTTAAAGCTTATATGTGAGTATTTCATTTATTATACCAAGGGACTTCCCTCCCCCTTAGCCTGGCTCTTGGATGCCCCCCTATTGAGAACTCGAGATTTTAACAGCAGTGAGATGGGAACACAAACATATAGGAAACTGAGTGAAGACACAAAGGAGAAGAGAACAGTAGCTGGGGTTTCCTCTCCTATTGCTGAAGAAGGACCAGACAAAGGACGTAAGCTAGGACAGACAAACATGGGTTTGGGGATGGGGGGGAGGGGAACTTGTGGTCTGCTGGGCAGTCAGTCATAGGATTTGTCTCAGTGGTAACAGTGGGTGGAAGAAGTCAAGGGGGAAATGGAGAAAACAATGAAGAATCGAAGGAAACTCCCCCCCCCCCCCCCCCATCGAAGGCAGGCTATGTTAAGACTGGACTCTCCCGGGAAGCTGAGTGGACAGAGGTAAAGAAGGGGGTGGTGGCGGAGGGAACAAGGATCCTTCTGTTCCTTCTTCCAGGGACCTGGCCAGAGCTCGGGGGAGGGAAAGTGGGGACTTGGCACCAACGGACAAATGATGCTAAGTGACCAGGAAATTCCGTTCTTCAAGACTTTAGAATCTTTAAGCTACTGAGGTTCAAAGCAGACACTTCATGACCCTACCTCTCCCCGCCCCTGTCCCCACCCCCCCTCCAGCCCAGGTGGCCATCTTGTATAGAAGTGGGGATCTGGGGAGGTCAGGCCCGGGTGACTGTGGTGGGGGGAAGGGGAACAACATCAGAGCAGAAAAGGAAGCAGGCAGTCTGCGAGAGCTACGGCAGCTAGCAAAGGGTGGGCCTCTGGAGAGAATGGAGCCCAAGGCTGGAGAGCTCCAGAGGCAGAGTCTCTAGCCTTTCCCATCCATATAGAGGGAGGGGGGAGTGGCTGAGAATCCAGCAAGAAGGATGGGGGTTTGATTCTAGGAGGGGACTTCCAGATAGTCAAGGAGACCTCCAACTCTTCATTTGTTGAAAAAGAGAAACGGAGAAGCAAGACAACCTCCTCTGCCCAAGGTCACAGGGCATAAATAAAATCATTCTCTCCCTCATGTGAAAAGAAAAAGCTGTGGCAGCCTAGCCAACTTATATCCTAGGAATTCAAGACCCAAGGTGATCTCGCCCTCTGGTCTCCCAAACCCAAGATTCACTGCCCGGGCTTGATGGGGTTGAGATTTTATGGGAAAAGAAACCTAGAGGGAGGCAGGAGGTACTCTGTTCCCTGATCCTACACTGGCCCCAAACCGGTTTTCCCGGTCCCACAGCCTCTCAGCACCCGGCCTCCGGCTTGCTCCCGCTGCCTGACAAGCCTTCACAAGAAGCAGCTGGAGAGAAAGAGAAAGGAAAAGGGGGGGAGAGAAAGGGGAAGCTCTGACTCTGAGTACAACACCTCTACCTCTTCCTGGAAGGGTTCTAGGATAAGAAGGGGGTGAAGGACCAAGTACGGGGGACAGGACCCCAGGTGAATTTCAGTCAAGTGACAGGCTCAAGCAAGATCTAGCCCACCCCCAATCGCACCTAGTTTGGGGGTTGGTGGCAGCACTGTACCCCACCCCAGGCCTCCTGGAGGGATCCCCCAATAAACAGAATCCTGATGCTCCCCTGAGCTCCATTCCTGACCCATAGCCCCAGCATTCCCAGAAGCCCTTCTCAGGGAGGGACATGCTCTTTTCTGTAAGCCTCTCACTGGCCTGTGGCTTGAAACTTGTAGGCGGAAGTCCACCATCCTCCTCCTTAGCGGCTGCTCCCCTTTACCTTACTTAGACTTCATCCAAGCTTCCCCCACCCAAGTCCCAGATCTAAATCTCCCACACCGGAATCCCAGACTTAGTTGGGCTGGGGGGAGTTCCTCCCCACCCCCACTTCTTCAACCCTTGACTCCCCACTCTCCCCTGCTCTGGTATTTTGGTTGCTCTAACTGTAAGGAACCAACTAGACCTAGGTTTGGAGAGTTCTTGGGGGGAGCCAAGTAAACGGGGGGGGGGGTTTCCTCCTCCCCCAAACCTCTGCCACCTCGAATCCAGCCAGTCTCAGACTCTTTCCCACCAGCATCCGGTGGCCCTCCTCCCCACCCCTCCCGCCACAGAGTGGACAAAAGACCAGAGATGTCCAAATCCCGACTCTCTGACCTGCCTTTCCTGGGGATTGAAATGTTTGGTGGTGATATTGAGGGGCTTCTTGGCTCCAGGTCTGGGTCCTCCCGTCAGGGACTTCAAGGTTTTCTCTTCTAGGCGGTGTGGGGGAACTGAGGGCGGGCCTGGAGAGAGGTGGGGCTGGCTGATGGCGGAAACGGTAGCAACTCGATTACGAAATCCGCCTTTCTACAGGCAGGCCCGCAGCTCCCACTCTGGACAGATTGGGGAATGCATGGCTGAGAGACGAGGGGGCAGTTCTGGGTACCAGCCCACCCAGCTGTGCAAAACCAGGAGGGCTGGAGAGCCCAGGTGGGCCTGCTTCTTCACCCTCCCGGCAGAGGGAGGGGGAGGAGCGAGTGGTGATCTCCTGAGTCACACGTAGGTATTTGTTCTTCACTGAAGGTCAAAAGGAACATTTCTGCCTTTTCTGCAAGCAGATTAAACATTACTGACATTAGAGACTTCATGGATCACAGACCTACCTATTCCCTCTGTGTCTCCTCTCCAAGCCTCTTCTGTGCCCTTCGATAAGAGGAATAGGTATAGGTTTCTTTTTGGATGGTCCTCCCAACTTGGGTTTGTGTGAGAAGGGGATTCTGAGAGATGACAATGTTGAAAAAGAGTCACGGATTTCTCTAATTCTCAAAGTGATTTCAAAGTCTGGGTTACTTGAAGTTGGGGGAGGGAGGAATACCCCTTTTACCCTCTACTCTTGCTGCAATGTAGACATTTTAACTCATAAACCTAAAAATAAATCAAAGAATGAGAAACTGGTTACTCATGCACTACTAGCAGATATCTGGGAGAAATGGGAGTTAATTAACATATTGTGACTGGACCTCCAGCAGGCCTATCTTCTTTCTTCCCCTAGAGAGGATAGGCCCTAGAATCATTGAGAATTAGCAGAGTCACAGACCCAGGCAAGGAGGGGGAGGGGAGCGGGGGAGTCCTTCCGCCCCTTTAGGAGGGGCTGCATTGCAGGGGGAGACCGAATAGACAGTGAGACAGACTCACAGTCAGAGAGAGAAAGGCGTGAAAGCAAGGCAGACAAAGCTTCAACCGCAACCTTCTCTTTATCCATCAGCCCCAAGCCTCCTGAAGCCTGACACATCCGTGGAATCCACAAACTACTGGTGATTGGTAAGCTGAGCTAAGGGAGAAAGGTAGTTAGGACTAACAGAGAGGCAGCTTGTTTTGCAGGGATGGACCATGGGTTGGACAGGAGATTCACCGGGAGGGCGGAAAAGGCAAAAAAAAAAAAAAAAAAAAAGGGAGCTCTAAATAATAGGTGGTCAGTTGAAAGAATTGATCTATCATATTTATTCATGTATTTATTTTCACATCTATTTGCATATCTCTAGCTATAGATAGATATATTTACCTACATATTTAATAACTTTTCCAAATCTTATTTCTGGCTATTTGTGTGTGTGTGTGTATATATACTCTTATAATTTATCTTAAATATGTAATAATATATGTGTTGATATATTTATCTTTCAATCTATTGATAAATCTTTATTATTACTCGTCTATCTTCCTCAAAAAAAAAATCCTTTTAGTATTTCTCCGATGTGTCTACCCATTCCATGAAAACAGTGTTCACCCTAGGAAGGATTTAAAGAAGGAGGTGTGTAGGAATAGCTCGCGGTCCTCTGGACATCAGTCTTCCCTTGTCCTAACCTTTCTCTATACAGAAGAGGCAGAAGTAGGGAAGGTGAGGCCTTCTGTGGTAGGGAGCTGTCCTACAAAATCATTTGAATTCAATGCAGTATACAAGAGCAGGGAAGGGGAGTCAGTTTCTGGGGAACTGTATGTTCGCAGATTAAAGGTCGGGAAGATCCAGGGAAAAGGATTGGGGACAGGATGGCATATTTATAATAGAAGGGTTCCCATTACTTTTCCTCCATGAGTAACATCATGACATAGACCCTGTGAAGTGAATGAAGTAGGATACACATAACATCTTAAGAAGGTTTGATGAGAACAAGTCTTTGTGTGGCTGTGAATGGGTGTGTCTCTGTCTCTGTATTTCTATATTCCTATATATCCTCTCTCCCTATATCTGATAATCTCTGCCTGCATCAACATGTGAAATTATCCAGATAATTGAGGGCAAGATATGTTTTTGCTTGAAATTCTAGATAACTGAAAATGAAGGCTATAGCTTCTGTCGTAGCAGTGCTTAGGGTACAAGGGTGTTTGGTGGAGTAAGGAAAGGCTTTTACCACATTTTGTTTAGAATTTCGGATGGAATTAAAATGTATACCATTGTTATGTAAAATGTATGCCATTGTTATCAAGGGCATTTTAAGCATCAGTCATTCAGATAAATTTTATATGTAGACCTAATTTTTTTCTCTGTTGTAAATTACTACCTATTTATTTAGATCTTTGTATGTGTCTCTATCTATCTCTGTATGAGCTTCTGGGTTAATGACATATCTAGATCTAGATCCTAAGCAAATATTTTTAAAAAGATGTTTTGCCTGACAATTGCAAAAAAAAAATTAGATTTCCTGCTCTGCCTACTATGTAAGGACTATTCAGTCAGCCTTTTACATCAGAGGAATGGAAAATGGAGGCAGCTCTTAGGATCTATTTCTCGTTCTTTATGATCTTTTACATTTTCCCCATGTATACAGGATATTTTAACACTCAGAAAAATAAGTCTAGTTAAGTAGATAGTTCTTGCACATTTAGAGGATATAACTAGGGTTTGTAAGTAGAGAGTTTGTATTATCTTGTAAGTCTGATCAATAAGTATTAAGAAGCCTATTAGCTTAGTACTGTATTAGGTTTTTTAGGAGATATAAGAGAAGTATAAATTATCAATCCTGTCTTCAAGGAAGCATTGTAATACAACACTTGGAAAATATGTACTGCAGGTAAGGCTATTTGCTAAACCTGGTACTACTGTTTTGCTTTCTGGATTTATTTCTTGGGACCTCTTAGCCCCAAGCCTTTGCAGGGTTAAATATATGAAAAGTGTATCTTTTGGCACATGTACATATATTTTTCGCAAATATTTTTGAGGTGGAGCAGAGCTGAATATCCCAGGATGATGACCTCACCTTTCCCACATACTTCCCCCATGCTATGCCAGCTCTCCCTGCCTCACCCTCCCTTTCTTCTAAGCAACTTCCATGCTGACTAATGCTCAGCTTGTAGGGTTTATTTTAGAGTTCATGCCTAGTTAAAAAGAGAAAGAGCAACAAGGATCAGTTAACATTTAAAAATCCCTTCCAGCCTTCTTATGCCAAAGACTTCCATAGCCCTATTCGAGCAAAGGAAAACTCTTTAAGACTCCAGGACAGAAATTTCACATTATTCAGGAAATGTTTTTTCCATTATTTAAGACAGAGGCAAAGACTTACAGGTCCAGAGTGGTGATGGGAACTATTGCAGGGAATTATTTTCTACAGCCTCGAAGGCATTTCTTCTCAGGGATGGGGTTGTCTTCTTGTCCCTTCTGGACATTCTAGGCAATACCTGACACCTCCACTTCAATCTCTCTTTGGTTGCCAGGATTGTACAAAGATAGAGTGGTTTGTTCTGCTTGGCAGCAGTGTGTGGGTGGGATGAGTCTGGTTAGGGAGAAGAGTGATGGGAATTCAATCAGCTTGGAGAAAACTCCATTTAATAACTGAATCTTCTACCCAGGATTTCTAGTCATTTGCCTTTACTGCCCTTAACTATTAACTGAAATAAGGGCAAAAGAAATAACAAGGATCAGCTTTTGTGTAGCGGAGGGCAAAGCTGGAAAACTGGACCAGGTATTTAAGACATCACTGTGGCCTGACAGATTTGGGGTATTAATCTACATGTGTACCTTGAAAGTGAAAAGTCAGTTGATATCATTGACTAACCTTTGTGTGCTGAACTCCGTACAACTGTTAGAAGAAAATAGAGAGGTTTGTATCTTGCTCTTAGAAAAAGTCAGAGCTAAATGGAGATATATATTTTTAATAAACACTTTAAAAGACATGAGGCCTATGAAATGCAACTAATTTTATATATTACATTCTACATATATAATATAGAAGGAATTCTCTATATTTTACATGTATAATATGGAACTAATTCTATGTATTATATTCTACATACATAATATAGAACTAATTCTAGTCTATAATAGTGCTATATTCTTATAGCACTCTATACGTGGGTTCTGGGGAAATGCTGGAAGGATAGGTATGGAGCCAATCAAAGTTAATTAAAGAAGGCCTCCAGAAGGAGTTGATTCTATCATAGGATTTAGAAGGAAAGAAGGAGCAAAGAGAATGGTAGAGAGGTGGAGGGAAACCTTTTAAAGACAGGGTATAATCTGTTAAAAAAATAAAACCTCAGAGGTAGAAAATAAAGGTTTATTTGCCTGTAGTAGTAAATCCAAACCATCCTCATTCATTGAATACTTATGTGCCTAGCATTGGATAGGGAAAGATTCTAAAACCTGGTTCCTACCTTCAAGGATCTTATAATCTAGTTGGGGGGAAATTAACCTGTGAAACAATTAGAGAATAATAAATTACAAAATGGTATGTGTTGTACACCATAAATACAACAAGAGTACACAGAAGAATGCAGCATGGGGTGACATCTTCACGGATTCTAGTACCCTCTTAGAAGAGTAGGACAGGTGTAGAATATCTTGCACTTTTAACTGTGTGGAATGTTACACACTCTAATAGTAGAGATCACTGTAGTAGAAAGTCTTGCTTAACTTTTTTGGATTTTTATTATCAAATGAGATACTATATGTAAAGTGCTATTATTAAGTGCTTTGCAAACCTTAAAGCACTACATAAATCTTAGCTATAATATAAAGGATGGCACCATGGGAAAAGTGAGAATTACTGGGAAGTATAGAAAATCTTTCAAAGGTTTCTGTTTAAAAGAAAACAGAATACAGATAAGCAGATAGTTACTTGTGAGCAAAAGTTCAAGGCAAGGAATGTGAGGAATGATGGTGACAACAATCTGTCAGCAGTGAAGAGTGTGGATAGAGAGAGGGACCAGATTGCAGAGTTGAGTTGATGATGCTAGAGGGAACCATTCTAAGACGGTTCACTAAGAACAGACAGCAGTGAAAGGCAAAGGATGAAAGGGGGAGGATTATTGAAGTCCTCTGATTGGATGGGTGGAGCACAGGAGCTGTTACTGCACGTTTCTGAGCAGGGGAGGTACAGGAAAACAGGCCAGAAACATCACGGGGACTCTTTGCAGTGTGTATACTAATTGGTGATTCCTTCCCAGGGAGTCATGAGGGACCCTGTGAGCAGCCAGTACAGCTCTTTCCTTTTCTGGAGGATGCCCATTCCTGAACTGGACCTGTCCGAGTTGGAGGGCCTGGGTCTGCTGGACGTGTCCACTTATAAGACCCGAGGCAACAACAGTGGGAAAATGTCTGAGGAGGAGCCAAGCAAAGCTGGGCAGAAGAACTGTCCTGAAGGCGATGCCCTACTTGAGTACAGCACCTTCAACTTCTGGAGAGCCCCTATTGCCAGCATCCACTCCTTTGAGTTGGACTTGATTTAAGGCTAACACCTCTCTATCACCATTTCTGTATTTTCTTTTTCTTTGGCCCCTTCCTCCCTATCTACACTTCTTTTTAGCCCTGCTTTCCCCCCTTCATTGTGTTGAGGTGGTGCTAAAAGAATCTGCCATGGAATAGCTATTTATTTATTGTTATTTATTTCCCTCTATATTGTATCCCCACAGGCACCCCTCCTTCTCTACCAAGTCCTTCAAATCACTTCAGAAGAGGTATGGTTCTTCAAAAAAAAAGGTCCTAGGTATCCAAATTCCTTTCTCTCCTGAGACTAGCTTTAGAAAACAAGTCTGACTGGGCGGCAGGCACAAACCAACCTGCCTCAAAGAGGAGCAGTACAGTAGTGAGAGGTGTGGTAAATTGATTCTTGACCCCATTGTTACCAGCTTTACAGTTTACCAGCCTTTCCATCTCTACCCCTAGGTCAGTTAGCATGGGTGGCTTTCTCACTAATTGAAAATTCTGGGATTTTTATTTGGGATTGTCTGCTATAAAAAGGTAAAGCCTGTTCCAAACAATAAAGTAACCAAGCGTCTTTCCAGACCCAGAAGTAAGGGATGAAGACTTAAGCCCTGAGGCAACATGTTGGAAAAATGGAGCCAAGTGAAAATACTTAAGCAAATTCTGAAATAATTGAAGCCTTTCCCTCTCTTCTATGGAGTTATTTTCTTTCCTCCTCAAGACTTCTCTCTTCCTCAGCTTTGTTCTTAACTGAAGAACATGGGTAGGGATACAGAAAGTTCACTAAGAAAAAAAAACACTTAAATCTCAAACTTTAACATGTTATTTTGCTGTTTATGACAGTCCCACATTGTTGGGAGCAGGTCCTTAAGCCTGTTCTTAGCTCCATCATGTAACCTACAGTCTCAAAGGACCTCAGCTTCAACCCCTTTAGAAATTACCAGCCCAGCAGTCTCTAATGGTTCAGGTACCTTGAGGGCATGAAATAAGATGATCAATACCTTCTTCACATCCTGACACTTTACCACACTATCTTTGAGAGTTCTCCAGTCTTTCCCCGTTATTGCTGCCCATTTGTGCTGACAATTCCTCACCCTCATCTAATAAAGCTGTTTAATCCCGCGCCTGAATTTCATGTTACCGTCTCTTTGTTCACAGGGAAGCAGCAGTGTTTTAGGATTTTGTTTCCTAATTAATTGTACAGCTTTATTCATTTCAGCCTATCTCTTTGGGGGAGGTGGGGCTGGGTACAAAGAAATGAACACCCTTTTACCAAAACAGGTGGAGGTCCAAGTATATGATGAAGGAAATGATGAAAACTCGAGTTCAGAGAATATGGTTTGCTCCAATTTTATGTGCCTCTCTTCCACTAGTTTGCTCTGAACCTAGCACGTTCCCCAGCAACTGAGAGGCTTAGGTGCAAAGGCTTCTTCTGAGCAGACATACAGCAAAAGGGATGTTAGAGGTCATTTACAGAAGAGGAAACAAGGCCAGAGAAGTGACTTCAACAAAGCTTTTAAGTGACACCTACTGCACCAAGATCTTACCAGCCCCCTTTTAATTCATGTGCCCGATTTCCCCTCCTCCCTTTACCTCATTTCTCAGAGGTGAACCTATCATTTAATGGGTATTACTATCAAGTGATGAGTGCTGTGGAACACTTCGGAAAGAGAAGAGAAAGTAGTTAAAGGTTGCCCTTCTTAATTTATAATAAATTTATAAAACGGTTAGAGCAACACGTTAAGTAAACTTAAGCTAGCATTCAAGTGACAATGTATTAAGCTCTCTAAAGGTACCACAAAGGAGATACAGGAATTCAAAGAGAGAAATCCCTTTCAAATAAGAAAACACATTTTTCTTTTTGTAGTAACCAAAGGTGAAGTTTATACTCCCCACCTTGGGCATTCAAAAAAAGGGAGCGGTAAGTACCCCCACCATCTCTAAGCACTGAAAATTTTTCATTAATATCAATGCCATATTCAAGGAGGAGTGACATCATTAACACGGCTATTGTAATAACAATCTGACATTTAAGAAGATTGCCTGAAGCGACTTCTCAAGAAAAAGGATCTTGTGAGGGGAAAAAAAAAATCAACCTAAGTCAGATAAATAAACTTGCTGGATCCTGGAATTATTTTCTCTGCCTGCCCAGGGTCAGCCCCCTTGGGGTCGGTCAAACGGTCTTAATTCTCCTTTCTTTCCTTGCATCTCCTCCCCTCCCCCATTTTTCTGTTCCCTTTTAAGGGTAGTTTCCCCCATCCCCAATTAGAATGGAAGCTGCAGGCGGGCAGGTTATGTACCTCTCCCAGCGAGGTGCACGGTGACCGGCACACAGTAAGATTAATAAAAGCTCATCGCCTTTCGTATTAATGTCTCTTAAAAAAAAGCAACCATTTCCACGCGGGGGTCACGGCCACGCTCTTGCGTGCTCGAGGGGGAGAGAGCGGGGATGACCTCCAAAGGCCGCGGACGCGACCGCGTGACCCCAGCATTCTAAACGTCATTTGGTGCCACGCCCCGCCCCCAGTCTGGGACGTCAGAGGAGCCGCGGTCCCGTGGGGTCCGGGAATGGGACAGCCACATGGCGATCACGGCGCGGGAGGAGTTTCTCCTCACGGTTTCTTCCCGTTCTTGGCGCCAAAAAAAAAAAAAAAAAAAAAAAGCCCGGGCCCCGCCCCTTGCCGGGACTTTGTAGTACGTGAGCTCACGTAAGAGCGCGCGGCGCTAAAATAGTCCCATTCACCCCGACCTCGGGGAATGTCTGTCGCCTTCACCAGGCCTCCGGACTCGGAGAATGACCCCCCGAACCCGCGCGACCCTCTCTTCGCCGGGGACGGGGATGTCTTTGATCGTTTCCCACAGCAGATTCCTCCGCCGGAGATGATCCTCGGCGGCCCCAGCACTTCCGGGTCCGCCATTTTGTCTCCTCCATTTCTCCACGAGGGGGGGTTAAAGGGCCCCCCCACCCACCCAATATACATTTATGAAAAAGTCGAAAAAAGTCGCTCCTGCCGACGGGGCGTCCGACTCAGGGGAAAAAAGAGGAGCAAACTGGCGGGCGCGGAGGGAGCAGGGTCGGCGGCGCCCCCGACGCAGCGGTGAGTCCCCGGGGAGGGGGTAGGGAGAGGGGGGCGGGGGGGACCCGCGCCCCCTCCCGCCTCCCCCCTCGCGGCCCCGGAAGCCGAGGGCTCTAGCGCGGCCGCGGGAGCCCCCGAGGGGCCCGGAGGAAGGGGATGGAGTCGGGAGGAAGGGGAGGGGTCTGGGAGAGGGCGGGGAGCGCCGGGGCCTGTGCCCGGGCTCGGCCGCGGGGGGCGCCGGCTAGGCCGCTAGGGGGCCCCACGTGTGCGCCCCGCGATCGCGAGGCGTGGGCCCCGGCCCTGGCGCGGCGCGGCGCTGCGGACCCCATGCTTCCCGGGGCCTCGCTTAGCCTCGCGCGTGGCGGTGCCCAGATGCCCCGACACGCAGTCCTCCCGCGTCCACCTGCATTTCACGCTTGCTTGGGGGGTCGGCCGCATTCCTTCGGGGAGCCCGGGGGTCTTCGTCTCGGTCCAGGGCTGCATCTGCATCGGCGTGCGATGCTGGAGCAAAGTTGGGACCCCCTGCCCCCTCATCCGTCACCGAACAAAGCGCCTTCGTCCCACAAACGCATTTTATTTTTGTCCTTGGGGTTCAGGGGATAGAATTAGCAGGGAAGGATCCTCAGTGGGGAGTGGGAGTTGGGGCTTCAAAATACCAGCCACCGTAAGAATACATCTGTTCTAAATGTGTACGGTGGCGATTATAATACACCATTTACAGTCCTTCCTTGGTTTCTGTCTTTGAGATGTTAGAAAATAAAACTGTTCTTGGCCTTTTTCGAGAATTAATGTTAACCTCAATTGCAGTTTAGTGATGTCACCCCCCCACCACCACCACTTTTTCCTCTTCTGTAGCAGATGATGGCCTCAAAATGAGATTGAAGACACTTGATAACATTGAGTGGTTAAGACAGAAAACACAGATGGGGAAAACTCACAGTCCCACCGAAACCTGGAGTTTTGGTTTTTTTTTTTTTTTTTTTTTTTGAAAAACACTTGAGAAAAGAGTTGTGATGATGATACCAACGGAAATGTGATACGCTGAACTTCTTGAAGGAGGCTAATTTTTCAGAGCCGTTGAAGTAATTTATATTTACGTTCTCTAACTGCCTCCCTAGAAAATTGGAGTCTTTTTGGTTAAGGAAAGTCAACATCATTACATGTGCAGATAAAGAGTTAGTTTTCATACCAGGATTTCTGCACTTTATTGCTTAGCTCATTCATTCCTCCTTGTTCTGGGAGCAATTATTGTAGGGGTGATCACGGTGTGTAAAGTTTGTATCTTATAAATAGATTTTTTGAAAATGCTTTTCTGCAGCTTTAGTAGTTAAATGGAGTTTTTGACTGGTAAACACTTGAAAAACTGCATTTAATTTTAAATTAGTAGGCAAAAAACACTAAGCAAAGAATCCTTTGTGCCATTTGATCTACAAAGGCAAAACCTTTAGGGAGGCTACGTGGCAGAGTGGGGAAAGTACAACATTTGGAGTCTGGCGGACCTGGGATGTAGTACTGTGTCTTCCAATTAGACCATGGCAGTGCTACTTAGTCTCTCTCAGACTGTTTCTTGATCTGTAAAATGGGGGTGCATCACTTAAGGCTGTCCTAAGGAAAGATATTTTTTAACCTCAAAGCACTATGGAAACTTAAGCTGTTATGATTTATTCCCTTCTGAGAATTGAAACATTCTTGGAAGATATGGATCATGATAATCTTACGTAAATGGAGAAATTGAGTCGTGGAGTGATAGCACAGTTGGCCTAAGATAGGGGTCCTGTGCCCTCACACTCCCTTGGAGAGAGGGACCTGTGTTAAACTGGTTTGATTTAGAAACCCTGTGCTTACTATTCCATTGTGTTGCAGGCTCACCCCTAGTCCCTCCAGTGTTCATAAGATAGTGGCTTCTAACATGAACTCCTAAATTTCATCAAGCAGTGGTTTATAATAGGAGGTTTTTACACAGCCAAGCATTCTCCATGCCCTCTGGAGATCATAAGCACTATACAGGGTGTCCCAAAAGACTTAGTGCAGTTTTAAACTATTAAAGCCTAAAACCTGCACTGAGACTTTTGGGACACCCTGTATAATGTGCACAATACTTTGTACTGTGTTTCCTGAAATGATGTTTGGCACCGGGCTTGTTTCACAGCAGTGGCGTGCTGCTTTATTAACTGACACCCAGGACAAGAAAGTGGACTTGGGATCATTTCATTGTAGCGCTTTGTACTTGCCAGAGCATTTTTTTGAAGGCTAAAAGTGAAGGTCTGTTGGTTAGGATGTGTGCATCTCCCAGAGCACTCATTTCTTGTGTCACTTAAAGTAAAATCAGAAGGTGAGCCGCTGATAGGTCAGCCAAGAGAGTCTTAGAAAGCATTTTCATTAACACTATTGTTTTGGGGGTTACAGCTTCCTGAAAATACTTGTTCTTATGCATAAAGATGTCTTTGGTGGACCTGGGGAAGAGGTTGCTAGAAGCAGCAAGAAAAGGACAAGATGATGAAGTGAGGACTTTGATGGCCAATGGTGCCCCTTTTACTACGGATTGGGTAAGTTTAGGGGAGAGAAGAAGCAGAGACCATCCCGTCACGTGTTTACAATCAAGGGAAGTAAAGAAGGGGATGAATCCTAGAGTGGGAAGGGACCTCAGAAGTTGTTGAGGCCAACCCTTACATGAGACAGAAACTTAATCTACACCATCCCTGATTTAAGCTTTCATCCAGTCTGTGTTTTAAGACCTCCAGTGATGGGGGAAACTCACTACCCACCAAGACTGTTCATTCTGTTTTTGGACAACAGTAGTTGTTAGGAAGTTCAGCCAAAATCTGCTGCCCTATAAATTCTGCCTATTCCACCCATCAGTCCTTCAGCATGAAACAAAACAGGACAAGGCTGTGGAGTATTTTTCTAGAGAACTTCGGAATCCTGAGAATATCGATGAGGGGCGGGACAGAGACAGAATGTAGCCTATACTCTATGTTTGTGGTGATCTGTGATTCAGAGAAGATGAAAAAGGATTTCACTGGACTCTTCTTACCAGGGGACCTCATTTTGGTGCTTTATTCTCACTGCTCCAGATTTTGTGCCTTTTGTTATACCTGAAGACATGATTAGTATGCTATTTTTTACTCTGATTTTCCAAATTGGATCTTATGAATATATTGGTGGTGGTTGGGATGTGTGTTTCTGAAATGTTTTTGATTGTGTCTTCTAAAGATTTAATTTTCTTTTGGGTGTATTTGTGTATATTAGCAAAGCAGCTAGATGGCATTGTGGATAGAGTGCTAGGCCTGGAGTCAGGAAGAGCTGAGTTCAAATCACCATCAGACACCTACTAGCAGTGTGACCCTGGGCAAGTCACTTACCCCAGTTTGCCTCAATTTCCTCATCTGTCACATAAACTGGAGAAGGAAATGGCAAACCACTCCAGTATCTTTGCCAAGAACACCCCAAATGTGGTCATGAAGAATCGGACATGACTGAAACCCCAAAATGACTGAACAGCAGTACTTGGGTTGGAAGCATTTGTAATTACCTGAAATTCAACAGAATCAGTAAAATGAGAATGAATTCTTAAAGCAATAAACCTCCTGGCCCTCTTTTCACCATTGCGTTCTGGTAAAAAGGAATTTTCTAGCCTTTTTGATTTCCTTTGCCAATCTTTTAACAATTAAAGAGAAAGATATAATTTCCTGAGACTTCAAAGCCAGCTTTGGGAGCAGAGATCCAGGCCATAATATTAATTCTTCAGCTTGAGGTTCCTCAGACTTTCTGGGTTTTAACTGTTTGGTGAAGGAACTTTTTTCATAGCCTCAGGGCCAGCTGCTCTTCCATGAGAGGAAGAACAAAAAGAGAACCTGTGAAATGAACATTTCTGTAAATAGATCTGGAAAAGAGCAACGTGAATTAAACCCAATTATGCATATCACAAGGAAAATGAAAATGTGAGATGCTAAGAATGAGTGAAAGGAGCTTAAAATAGAGAGCACTAGACCTTGAGGAACAGCCTCTGTTCAGATTTCAGAGCAGAGTATTGATAACTCAAGTAGGATCTGGCCCTGGGTGAGAAATAATTGTTTTTTTTTTTTTTGCCATTGACAGGTCATCACCAACACCATTCTACTGCATGCTCCTGCCCTTACTTCCAGTCCTGTAACCTCATTTTATGTGGCCTCCACAGACGTATTAAGATGCATTATAGAATCCTAGATTCCTGTTCTTTAATAAGACTTCTACATATAACTTGCTAGTCCCTATTTCTCTCTTCTAATTCTTTCACCAGTTTGTATTACTCATTTGCTTTCACCTCTGCACAAGGGTCAGTTCTTCTAGGAAAATTTCCCTGATTTTATCCTACCTGATGGTTCAGTTTTTATTTATTTATTTTTAAGATGACCAATCTCTTTTGTTTTAACCACTTTCATTTCTAAATATTTCCCTTCCCCACTAAGACATGAACAAGGAATAAAAGAAAAAAAAAGAAACAGTTCAGATTTAACTAACACATCAGTTGGGTCTGACAGTATTTGTGATGTCCATACCCGTAGTCCTCCACCTCTGTAGAGAAGGGCTGACTAGTTTTACTCTTTCACCTAAGCACTTGGGTAATCTGCTGGCAATATAGTAGTTCATGTTTACTGATGGGCTGCTACGAAAGTGATGGAAGAGGTTTCTAGATCTTTAGTGCTGACTTCTCATCCAGGTTGTAAGCTTCAGTAGGACATAGATGCCTGGCCTCTCCGTCTTTATATATCCTCCAGGATGTGCACACGTTCAACGGGCGCTATTTCTCCACAGCTTGGAACATCACCTCTCCACCTCGCAGCCCAGTACGGTCATTATTCCACAGCGGAAGTGCTCCTGAGAGCAGGGGTTAGCAGGGATGCCAGGACTAAGGTAGACAGAACCCCTTTGCATATGGCTGCAGCAGATGGACACGCACATATCGTGGAGCTGCTCGTCCGGGTAAAGCGAGGCATGGCTGGGTTGAGTCATATATAAATGAGAAACATTACTGTAACTCTAAAGCAGGCCTGCAGAGTCTTACCCAGCACTCTGATTCACTTGCCTGAATGGGCAGGTGGGAACTGTGGGCAGAGAGAAATTGGGTGGAAAGGCAAGGCTCCTGGGGCAGGAGAACTGATCTTTCTCAAGGTTAGCAGTGGTTGAGAGAAGTCAGCCTCCTCACACTCTTAAAACATGGAATAATAAGCAGGCAGTCCCTGATTGTTTTTCAGGCACTTAGATTTCATTATGTGTACATATATAGTGAGACAAATATGTGTTCTTTTTGTCTTACTGAGAAGGACTGCTCCCCCATCAGTTGCAGTTCCTCAGTACTCTCCTGTACTGTCCCCAGTCTGTGTAGCATGTTTATTGGCATTGAGAGAGAGACAGGATTTGGAGATGTTTTCCTTCTAAGGTACTTAAGCATAATCCAAATTGGAGTATGTATAATTCTCCAGTAATCCTTCAGATTTTGTGATGGAAATTCACACCTACTGCCCTGTGGCTGTCATCTGAGGGAAATTTTGGTTTTTTGTGGCAGAATGGTGCAGATGTGAATGCCAAGGACATGCTGAAAATGACTGCTTTGCATTGGGCCACTGAACACCATCATCGTGATGTGGTGGAGCTGCTGATCAAGTATGGAGCTGACGTCCATGCCTTCAGCAAATTTGATAAGTCTGCTTTTGACATAGCTCTGGAAAAGAACAACCCAGAGATTCTTGTCATTCTCCAGGTGTGTGGCTATTGTACTTAACTGCCATTTCCCTAGATGCTAGTCAAACGAGTTGAAATTTATTATAGAGACGGATTCAAAATTGAACTTTCCCAACCCTTTCAAAGTAATACTTTTTTAAATCACTTTAAAAATGGAGGTGGGTGGGGGAGGGGTGTCTGTAGCATGCTCTGTAGTCAATTCAGTTTTTATTTTTCAAAGAGAATAATGGTGTGGGCAGTTAACAAATAATTTATATTTATTTAGTTTTGGAATATGCTGTGTTGTTTCCATACAAGAGGTTTGTCTTTCCAGTTACATTTGACTGAGGCAAATCTTTAAATGTCATTGCATGCTTTCTGAATGTGTATTCGGGGAGGCTGTCCCATAATCAGGCTTAGGATCACAAGGAAGGCTAAAATCTAAAATTTAGTTGTAGACGATTCATGGGTAGGTAATTACGTTGACTGTATATGAGAAATAGATGCAACTTTTTATTCCTTTTGTGTCTGTTTTCCCAATAAGTAGTTTCCTACAGACTTGTTGCCCTGTTCAACTCTCAGTTCCCTATTTAAACTTCCTTACGTAACAGGGATTTTTTTAGCCCTGAGCATGTTTGTGGAAAACTGCTTCTGATAATATAGAATCTAAAGGGAGGTCATCTTTGCTTCAGCTGTATGGGAACTAGACTTCAAAAGGTCATGTTCCAAATGTGAGAGTCATTTGCTGGGCTGGTGCATATTTTCGCATTTCTTCCTAGGAAAAGTGGAGTGCATTGTTGTTCCACACTCAGGAGGTGATTCCTTACTGTATGGAGGCAGATTAGCATACCGATCATATAAATTAGGGGCCAGAAGACATAATAGAGGTTAACTAGTCTAGCCCCTTCATTAGGGAAGGGAAGAAACAACAGAGTTAAGTGGTTTGCCTGTCTTCAGAGTTTTTGAACATAATATCTCTTTATTTTTCTAAGACATAAACAACCTTGGGAAGATAGCTTAATGGTTCTGTTTCTTTTGTCTGAGGAAAAAAACCCAACAGCCTTAATGCGAACACAGAGCTCCCTTGTACTGAAGCTGGTTCTGGATGGTAGAATGCTGTCAAGGGAGCTGTTGAGTAACTGTATAACTAAGGCTACAATAAGCATTCTGACTTTGAAAAGTCATGCCTTGTCTGGTAGGAGGCAATGCAGAACAAGGGGAATGCCCCCCCGGCGACCAGCACTGTGACAATGGCTACACCCTTTATCTTCACATCTGGAGAAGTCGTCAACCTTGCCAGCCTTGTTTCTTCAGCCAGCACCAAAACCACTACAGGTAATAGGCCATTGAGCAGGGGGCTGATTTCCATGTGGAAAGTCCATAGAATGCTAGCAGGTTTTCCTTTATACTAGAGAAGCAGTGATGCCACAATGCACAGAGAGCTGAGCCCGGACTCAGGGACCCCTGAGTTCAAATACAGCCTCAGATACTGTGACCCTGGGCAGGTCACTTCACCTCTACCTGCCTCAATTTTCCTCAATTGTAAAATGGGAATAATAACAGCACCTACCTCACAGGGTTGTTGTGAGGATCAAATGAGAAAATACTTGTAAAGTGCTTAGCACAGTGCCTGGTACATAGTAGGTATTGTAAGTTATTATCATCTTCATCATCTCTGTAAATAGGATAAATAGGAAGAGATTTCTTAATAGGTTACATTTGTGTTTCTACCCTTATCCCTGTTTCTGAGGAATGTAGCATAGAGAATAAAAGCAGGGTGGTATAGGGAAAGGAGCTCTATATTGGGAGTCGGGACCTGTGTTCAAATTCAGCCTAGGTCATTTACTGCCTATGTGACTTTGGGAAATTTACTTTCTGGGTCTCAGTTTTCTTATTTAAAAGTTGATCTCTATGGTCACTTCTAACTCTAAATTTATGGTTCTGTGAATATATTTGGGTACTTTTTCTGATTAAAAATAAAGCTTGCTACTGAAGAGCTGTATATAATATGTTAAGTACCATGTTTATCTCCCAAATAAAAGTGGAGAAGTGTTTGTCAGTTGATAACAAGAAAAATAATCGAATATACATGGTCTGGAGGTATAGCAATTACAGGAAAAGAGGAATTGATAAAATTTTAAATCTAGTTGTAATCCTGAAGTTGCTAAAATAGTTACATGTGAGTTATTTAACTCAAGAAATTATGAGTGTGTTCTTGCAAGCTGCTTAGAAATGAAGTCTGTAGTTTTTGCAGTCCAGTGCTTCAGCAAATTTATCAGTTTTTACAAATATTTGCCTGTACTTCAGAGGAGTTGGAGGCTTCTCTTTTTTGCTCCATTAACTTCATCTGACTTGATATTTGACCTTTTTTTATTAATTTACTTTGATTTATCAACAATCCTTTCCATAAACTTTTGAGTTTTAAGTTTTTCTCCCCTTCCCTTCCTACCTCCCTCCCCAAGATGGCGTGCAATATGATAGAGGCTCTGCATATACATTCTTATTAAACATATTTTCATATTGGTCATGTTGTAAGGAAGAATTAGAACCAATAGGAGGAACCACAAGAAAGAGGAAACAAAACAGAAGGAAAAAAAGAGCAAATAGTGTGCTTCCATCTGCATTCAAACTCCATGCTTCTTTCTCTGGACGTGGATAGCATTTTCCATCATGAGATTTTTGAAATTGTCTTAGATCCTTGCATTGCTGAGAAGAGCTAAGTCTGTCAAAGTTAGTCATTGTACAGTGTGGCTGTTACTGTGTACAATGTTCTCCTGGTTCTGCTCACTTCACTCAGCATCAGTCCATACAAGTCTTTCCAGGTTTTTCTGGAGTCTACTTGCTCATCATTTTTTATAGCACAATAGTATTCCATTCCATTCATACACCGCAACTTGTTCAGCCATTCCTCAATTGATGGGCATGCCCTCAATTTGTAGTTCTTTGCCACCACAAAAAGAGCTACAATATTTTTGTACATGTGGGTCCTGTTCCCATTTTTGTGATCTCTTTGGGATACAGCCCTAGAAGTACTATTGCTGGGTCAAAGGGTATGCACATTTTTATAGCCCTTTGGGCATAGTTCCAAATTGCTCTCCAAAATGGTTGGATCATTTCACAACTCCACCAGTAATGCATTAGTGTTCCAATTTTGATGTTTGACTTTTTTTAAAATCCTTAACTCGAAGTTAAAAGAAAGATTCATAATTCTAGTGCAGTTTTCCAAATATTAGAGAAAGAATACAGCACTGCTGTTTTAAGAAAAAAAAATTGTTCTCTATAGACAGTGTAATTGCCTCTTTTCTCTTTATGACCACTAGGGGACAATATTGCTCTTCCTTTTTATAAGCCATAAGCCACCTTTGGTTTCAAATGGATAATTAAAAAAAGTTATTTTTAACGATGCACAGACACAAAAAATGCTGCTTATTGGCCACACTCAAGGACATGACTTTGGACATCCTTTAAATAAAGTTCCATTATTTGGGAATTGAAACCTGTGAGGAGTGGGTATGTTTCTGATGTTTTAACTGGCTTGTCCTGCAGACAGTGTGGCCTCCATTCTCATGAGCCAGAATCACATTGCTTGCCTGCCATGTTTTGGGCAAATATGCACCTCCTCGTGGCTCTTTGGTGTAGCAGATTTGAGGTGCTAAGGCCAGTCTATAATTGAAGTCGTGTCCTTACTCTGGTCTATTACTCATAAAGTGGTTTGCCCAGCAGTTCTCTATAGCTTGCTGATCTTTCTGTTGTTTAATACATGTAGAAAAGAGGAAGAGAAAAGAAGTAGGAAAAATTCAGTGTGGGCTATTCAGCTGAAGAGTTTTCCACTTTGGCATTTTAAGTTTCTCAGTGTCTCACTTCAAAGTGTTCCTTTTTCTAAGAAATAGTTGAATTTATACTAGAATATATATCATTTTGGTGTTTGAGATTGCAGAGTTCAAATCCTACCCTTTAAAATCCAGAGCTTTCGATTATCCATATGCGAATTATTTGCAGTAGTTCAAAAATTCGAGACTTCAGTCCTTGTACAACCTGGTATCCTCCAGGCCATCTAACCTCCAGCCGTCAGTCAGCTTATATGTACCCTAGGAAAGTACAAATTAATTTTAAAAATTGACATAGACAGATTTGCTGCCCTTGTAACACAATGCATTCCCAAATTTGATATAAATAATTTTTGGGTACTCTGGTGTTTTGATTATTTCTTGCTTCTGTTGCCTTTCATAAATGTAGATAACAGAGAGTAGCTTAAAAACCTATTGCCAGCTAAGGCATAATATTTCATTAAGCTGACACTTAGCTCCATCGAACTTAAGATGGAGGCAGCTTGTTGCCTTTGGATTTATAGTAATTACATTAGGATCTGCTCTAATTCTCACTAACATTGAGATTGCCTAGCTGGTGACAGTTAGTTTCCTTTATCCCAAGCCTCCAGTTAATCCTGGCCTGAGGCTTTTGATCATATGTTTCAAGTTATAAACAAATAATTCAGTTCCCCAGCATTTTATATTTTTTAATGTTGGGTTATGCCCTCCAGGAGCAAGGAAAGAATAATGTTGAGGAGAAAATCTACTTCCTCATCCCAAATGCTTCTGGGAGAGGTGTAATATGTCACATGCTTCTTTAGTGTATCTGTTAGTTATAATTGGCTTTAAGTATCAGACACCGTGTGTGTGTGTGTGTGTGTGTGTACGTGTACATACATACATACATACATACATATATATATGTATGAAAAGGCCTCCATTTCAGAAAATTTCTGTGTGTGGAAGACCATTTACATAATGATACTCTGAAGTTCTCTTGTTAATTCATTTCTGTGTTAAAAGGAAATGGGGTGAATGATTGTCTGAACCAAAGTACAAAATCATTCAAAAGTAATGAAGACTCATACTTAATGCTATAGTCACAGGGCTTAGCAAAGCAGAGTTCTAATGAACTAATTCCACCATTCTATCCTTACGAGGAACTCAAAGATAGAAGGTTCCGTGTTTCCCTCAGCTGAGGCGAGGATGGGAAGGTGTTACATTAGTGTTTGCTATGGCTGGCAACCACCAACCAGGAAAGTGCATTAGGGGATGAATAATAGTTGAATCCTGCCCAGCAGGAAGTAAGTCCAGATACTCCCCTGGTGGAGGTCAGGCAGTCCTATTGGCTCCAGCCATTTGGCTTCCTGAGCAGGTTCTTTTCTTTGGAATACGGTGCTCAGAGCGCTGGGCCTTGAGTCAGGAAGAACCAAGTTCAAATATTGCCTCAGACATTTACTAGATATGAGATCCTGTGAAAATCACTTAGCCTTTGTCTTCCTCAGTTTCCTCTGCTGTAAAATGGGCATAACACCACCTACCTCTCAGGGTTGTTGTGAGGACTAAATGAGACATTATTTGTAAAAGGGCTTTACATACCTTAAATTTAGCAATAGTTAAATGTTAGCAATTATATTTTTTAAAAGAATTTTGTTTTTTAAAAAATTCTGAACTTCAGAAACACTGGATAAAATGAACATTTCCATATACATGATTGGCACATAGTAAGCACTTAATAAATGCTTGTTGACTGACACATAGTAGAACAGAAAAAGAGGATTATACACAAAACTGTGAATTTCTTTGGTGTACAGCATACTTTTCTTTTTAAATGTCTAATAAATTCAACATGTAACTTTCAAAACAGTCTTGCTTGTCTGTCATTCTTTCTGGCCTTCTGTTCTCTTATGTGTATTTTAAGCAAGTGTTTGAATGACCCACTTTTCTTTTTCTTTCTTTTTGGCTACCTTATTCTAATCTTCCTCTTCTTCGATCTACCCCACCCTACCTCTGCTGGAAAAGATAAGAGAAAAACAAAGCCTATGTAGCTAATAGGCATAGCCAAGCAAAGCAGATTCCCACATTGTCCAGGTCCAAAAAAGTTTCATCATTGGTTCTCTGGAAGTATAGCTGGTCATTCATTGATCAAGCCTTTTAAAGTTACTTCTTTTTATAATGTTGTTACTGTATACATTCCTCTGAATCTCACTTCACTCTCCATCAGTTCATACAAATCTTCCCAGGCTTCTCTGAAACTGTTCCTTGCATCATTTCTTATGGCTCAGTAATATTATATTGTACTCATATAATAATTACAGAAATAGCCAACATTTAGATAACTCTTTAAGGTTTAAAGAGCACTTTTCACACATTAATTCTCATTTGGTCCTCACAACAATCTTGTTGACTAAGTGCTGTTATCCCCATTTTGTAGGTGAGGAAACTGAGGCATATAGAGGTTAAGTGGCTTGTCCAGGGTGACACACCTTGTAAGCTTTGAGGTAGAATTTTAACTCTGGTCTTCTGATGCCAAAATCAGTGATCTATCCATTGTACCACCTAGCTGCCTTTATATTATCATTTGTTCAGCCGTCTCCAATTTAAGGGCATCCCCTTAGTTTCCATTTCTTTTCTGTAACAACAACAAGCTGCTGTAAATATTTTTGTCCCTATGGATCCATTTTGTTTGGTTCATTGGCTGTGTCCAAAATATAGTGTCCCAAAAGTCTTAGTGCAGTTTAAAGCTTTAATAGCTTATTTATTTTCATTAATTAAATATTAATAATAGCTTATTATTTTAAGCTATTAAATTTTAGAATTGCACCCTGCATATATATGTTTTGCAGTTGAAGTTCATCATTTCTCATGCAAGGGGTTAGTGGCCTGTTTCATCTTTAGTCTTCAGGGTTCGTGGTTTATCATTGCATTGATCAGAGTTCTAAAGTCTTTCAAAGTTGTTTTTCTCTGTTATGTTTTATTTATTTATTGTAGTATAACAATTTATTATATAAATTGTTCCCTTAGTTCTGCTCACTTAGCTCTGCATAGATCTGCATCAGTTCATAGAGGTCTTTCCAGTTTTCTCTGATTTCTTATGGAACAAGAAGTTTTTCTGTTTGTAAACCATAACTTGTTTAGCCATTGCACAGTAGGGAGATATCCCTTTATTTTCTAGTTTGAGGCTCCCATGAGACCTTTTTTGCTTTCTTTGATCTCTTTAGAGTATAAACCTCATAATGGCATAGCTGGATCAAAGGGTATGTATGCACAGTTTAGTGACCTTGCAGTGACAGTTTCTACCTACTTTCAGATGAGCTGGACCAGTTCTTAGTTCCACCAGCAGTTACTGGTGTTCCTGTTGTCCTATAGGCCCTCCAGCAACTTTCATTTTTCTTCTTTTGCCATCTTAACCAGTCTGATAGGTGTGAGGTGGAGCCTCAGAGTTGCTTTAATTTACATTTCTGTAATTATTACTTGGAGCATTTTTTCATATGGTTTTTGATTGCTCGGGTATCTTCCTTTGAAAACTGTCTATCCATAGCCTTCCTTTGATCATTTCGGAACATCTCTTTTTCTTATAAATTTGAATCAGTTATATTATATTGGAAATGAGACTTTCATCAGAAAAATTTGCTGGAAGATTTTTTTCTCAGTTTTTCTTCCAATTTCATTTGTTTTGGTTTAGTTGTATGACAGAGTTAAAGCACTAAGCCAATACATAATTGGACTAGACAATCAAGTATATATTTGCATGTATTGCAGGGTACACATTGATCCAGCTTTAAAACCATCAGTATTTTTGTATGTGAAGATTCTAGTTTCCGCTATAATTGCTGTTGGGTTGAAGTGTTCCCCACCTAGCTTCTTCCTGTTCACAATAGTAGTGATAGTAGTGTAATAATGATAATAATCACTTACATTTGCAAAAAAGCCTTTTTAATGAGGTAGTTAGAATTTTATAAATAAATAGACAAGTGAATTTAGAATCAGAAGATTGGAGTTTTAGTCACATCTCTGCTTCTTACTAGATGTGTGATCTTAGATAAATCATTTAACTTCACTGCCCATATAGTGATGAGCGAGAGGATGTGTTCAGCCAGTAAGAGAAGCTCTGTGTGTGTGTGTGTGTGTGTGTGTGTGTGTGTGTGTGTGTGTGTGTTCGTTCACTGGCACCAGCTGCTGCTGCTGAGGAGTGGAAGGTGGGGGATGTTCCGGACCTGTCAGCTACTGGTGCTAAACAGCAGCAGCAACATAGGAACCACCTCGTGGAGGGAGTCAGAGGGGGAATCTCACTTGTCCACATACCCACCTTGTTCGTTTACCCTTATTTCAGGGAAGGGATTTGTTTTTGACCTTAAATAAATTTACTTAAGTATGATGCATGTTAGCGTAGAATAGCAGGGAAGATTAAGTCCATCATTGTATTTTAGTTCATCTCAAATCAGCCTGACTCTGCTGGACCTTATCTGCCTTTTCCTCCCCAATAGGTGACTCCCGTACTTCTACAGTCCAGTTCTCCAATTCTACCACCTCAGTGCTGGCTACCCTGGCTGCTCTGGCTGAGGCATCTGCTCCCCTTTCCAACTCCCACCGAGCTGCAGGTAACTGAGGGAGCATGTGACTGGTGAAAGTCCCTTTTATTTTTTCAGATTTAATTTGCATGCGATTAAAAAGAATTGTGCTTAATTACAGGCAGCTCTAAAAAAGGTGATGTGGATTCATTGAACCTCAGAAAGAAAAGTTGCTAAGTGATGTAATCAGTCAGCTGAATAATATCAGGGAATGAGAGTCATTCTTTTGTGTCCTTGCAACCTTGGTGTGTCTGCTGGGACTCCAGTTGCTTCACATTGAATGAAGTGTTTTAATTTGTGTTAGAAGATCTTTCAGAGATATCGTATGGCATGTTTTGACTCTGATGCTCTTAGAATCTGAATAGCCAGCTGAGATATCTTGTAGATAGGAACATTACCTGCCTCTTTGCCATAGCATGCGTACTCCAAGTTGTCTGGTTTCTATTTTCTCTGAGTTTTTTATGTGGGGGCGGGCGAGTGTACTTCCCAAATGTAGAGCCCAAAAGCATTCCAGTCATTGAGCCATGTCCGAAGGGAAAAGGCAGCTCCCAACACCCAGCAGACAGTTTGGAGGCAGAAAGGAATCCAGTAATATTTGAGGAATCCCCAAGGGAATCTTTCTTATAGTTCACACATAAAAGCAATAGTTCTAATTTATCTCCATCATTAACACTTGAGTAGTGATGGTGATAATGTTGTTCTGTTGCCATTCAAGTCCAGTCAAGTCTGCTTTGTGAGGCGTTCTGCTTGTGGGAATGATAGAGGCAAAATACATAAGTCCCTGCCTTCAAGAAACTTCTGTTTTACCAGGAGCCAAGAGGTGGATGAAGAGACATAGGTACAAGGTCATTTGAGGAAGGGGAGCACTAGTAATGGGAGAGAAGGCTTCGTGGCTAAATCCTCCAAGAAAAATGAGGATTGGGAGAGGTAGAAATGAAGAGGAATTGCATTCCAGGCATAATGGAAGTCTTGCAAAAATGCAGGAAGGCAGGAAATTGACTGTGAGGCTCAGGGGGCAGTTAGTTCTTAGTCCAGCGTGGCTGGTTCATGGAATGCACAGTACATGGAGGTCAGCAGTGCTAGCAGATAAGTCTTTAACTTATTAAAGGCAGATAATGAAGGGCCTTCATTGTCAGGCTGAAGAGTCAGTTTCTCATCCTTCAGCCGGTGTGGAGTTTTCAAATAGGAAAGTGACATGATCAGACCAGTGCCTTACAAAGATTATTTTGGCCACTCTGCATCTTTGCCAGAGCTCACTTGTGTTTACACAGATGAGTGAGTGTGTGACTACAGTTATAGAACAGAATCAGGGAGAGCAATTAGGAGGCTGTTTCAGCAGTCCATGAGAGAGGTGATGAAGGGCTGAACTTGGGTGATGGCCATGGCTGTGAAGAGAAGGGGCTCAGTCCCCAAAACTCAAGTGCAAAGCTCCGCTGGGGTGCTGCCTTCCATCAAAGCCTGTCCTCATTAGCCTAGGTGCTAGTAGCCTCCCTTCAGAAATTACTCTGTAAATATTTTGTATTTAATTTTCTGTGTGCGTGTTTTTTTCTTCCCAGTGGAATATGAGCTACTTCGTGGCAGGGATTGCTTCATTTTTTCATCTTTGTGTCTCAGTGTCTAGGGCAGTTAGGTGGCACAGTGCCAAGTCTGGAGTCAGGAAGACTCATCTTTCTGAGTTCAAAATTTGGCCTCAGACATTTACTAGCTGTGTGACCTGGGCCAAGTCACTTAACCCTGTTTACCTCAGTTTCCAAGGAAATGGCAAACCTCTCCAATATCTTTGCCAGAAAAACCCCAAATGGGGTCACAAAGAGTCAGACACAACTGAAAAACTACTAAACAACAACAGTCTCAGTGCCCAGTATATAGGCTCTTAATAAATACTTATTGTATTGAATTGAATGCTCAGATACCACTAAGAGTAAGGCTCTTGATCCATGTATTCATGCTTTTTTTCTTATCAGGGTGACCTTTGATTAAAATCTGTTACATTTACCTGTACCTTCCCTGGTGAAAGACTTGCTCTCTCTCTCTCTCTCCATATATATAGATATATCTATATATCTATATAGATCTATATAGATATATCTATATAGATATATATATATCTTGCTCGTTCTCTCTCGCTAATCCTCTGAACCTCTACAGAGGAGGGACTGTGCTTATGCCAGCATCTAATTTTCCTGTGAAACTACTCAAGTATATTTAGTCCCAATATTGTGGACTGCCAACTAACCTATTCCCTGAACTTGACAGTTTTTTCTCCTGTCTCTGTGTGTTCATACAATTCTCCCCCCAGGTCTGGAATATATTCCCTCCTTCTCTGCACCTGTCAGAGTCTGGGTCTTCAGTGCTTGGGTCACATGCTGCCTCTTTTGTAAAGCCTATCCCTGACCCCCACCCCCCCCAATAATCTTCCCATCTCAGTCCACCTTGTGTCATTCATGTCTCTGTTCTCCCTGATCATCCTCAGAAGCTTCTGCAGGGCTGGGAATGGTTTCTTGGAATTTTTTTCCCTGAAGTCCCTAGTGGCTGGCACAATTCCTTGCACATACATTTGTACCAGCATACATTTATTAAGTACATCATCCTATGTGCAAAGTGACAACAACTGAGGAAACTGAAAAGCTGTATCATCAGACCAACTTACTTTAAAGGAGCAAACCTTTAGACATGTGGCGCATTACTTAGCTTGTGCAGCATTAGCATGTTTGTTGGTCTCATTTAGACGTGCTGATTTTCAGATTTGCTTTTTTTGTTGTTGCATGAGCCAGTGTTGTTCTTTCCTTATTATTGTTACCAGAATCTTGTGACTTGCTCATGAATTGTTCAGTTTAAGTAACAGGATTTCCAGATTTCATCTGATTTTTGAATATTGTTGTTTCCAGGAGACATAGAGCTATATTCTTGTTTTAAAAGTGCCGGGATTGAAAAAAAAAGCTTTTTATTCCTTTTTTATTTCTAGCCAATTCAGAAGAAATCATGGAGGCAAATTCTGTTGACTCAGCAATCCAACAAGTGGTGGGGAGTGGAGGCCAAAGGGTCATCACCATAGTGACAGATGGAGTCCCGCTGGGTAACCTCCAGACTGCAATTCCCACCGGTGGTATTGGCCACCCGTTCATTGTGACTGTGCAAGATGGGCAGCAAGGTGAGCTGCCTTGTTTGGATAGTTGTCCATTAAAAGATGGAACAGAAATTAAACTCTTCAGTATAAAAAGCAAGTTAGGATGAGGGTGAACTGGTAGAGGTTGCAGGATATTGCAAAAATTGGCATAAAAATGAAGTCAGGTTGTTTCAGCTTCCTTCACTCCTTCTAAAAATGTCTTGAGGTGAGAAGAGAATCAGTGGACTCACCTTTCTCTCTACTGTTATGACTCAGGTGTTGACCAAACCTATAACTTCTGTTCAGAATCCCACACTTTCTTGTTTGCGTGATGCTAAGTGAGACTTTTCCCTTCCTCACATTCATTGAAAAAAAAAAAACCAAACCAATTTGTGTCTGTAGTGGGAAGAGAAATGTAAAAAGGACTAAAAACTTTATTTACAGTACAGTTAGGTCTTCTCAGGCCTGTTTAGAAAATTATTGATGATAAGCTCATCTACACAGTTTATATTCCCAGATTCTTTTCAGGGCTTATTTGGTACTCATTTACTGAAATTGTTGAGTCGGTGAAATCTGAGTTAATTGGAGTAAGAGGCTAGATTCATTAGCATTTTTGTCTATATGTAGAATATGCTAGTGTTGAAGTGATTGAGATTATGTTTGTTTAGCTTACTCCTGAAAGCAGCCTGGTGTAGTGGCTAGAGAACTAGCCTTGAATCAGGAATCTGTAGGATTGAGTGCCCCCAGGAGACCTCCTGTCTCTGAGACTCTGGGGCCAGTCATTTAACATAGAAAGTTTCCTCATCTGAAAGTTCCCAATTGGGTGGAAAGCTAGGCCTAGCTTACTCTTAACAGAAGAATGCATTGGGATAAAAATTGTGATTGACATACTGTCAAATTTACATTTTGTGAATTGTCCACATTTATAGATTACCTCCAGCAGGTTTTAAGTTCCTAGGTTGATCTCTAGTGGAGGGAGGAGGCTCAGATTTACTGTCACTTGAAGTAAACTCAAGGAATACAAATGATTTGTAAAGTCAACCTAAGTTAAATTTAATGGGGCAAATAAACAGACTGAAGCCAAAATAGAGAAAGTCTGCTTTAGATGATCTTTGCCGTGGCTCACTTCCACAGGGTAGCAGGACCCCCAGAGCTTACTTAACACAGGTAAGTGAAAGTTGACTTTAGCTTCTTTGCTGTGAACTGTAACATCTCCTAAAGTTTTGTCTTGTTGTGACTGGATCCAGGAGCTGCTCTAGGTCTTCTTTAGATTGCTCCTGCTATTTCACTAAATCTCCATGAATCCCGTTAGTAAATATGCCAGTCCATTTCCCAAACCTCTGCACCATACTCTGCACAAAGGAAAATTCATTCTTTGTTCTTGGTTGTTCACCACACAGTATGCCTAGCTCCAGGCTTGGAACTGTCTTCGAAGCCTTAGTCGTTTTGACTGTGTACCTCTGCTCCTTTAAGAGCTTTGCAATGTTTCCATAGTCCTATCTGGGTTCCCCAGAGAGTGTATATAATAAAAGGATATCAGATTAAGCTTTTCAGTGTTGATTTCTTTGGGCAGAGAATCCCCAAACCCACGGAAAACAAGACCTATATTTTTTATTGTGTATTCACTTCCTCCCCTTGGTGTCCCTTGGCTTATAGTTCTAACTGTACCTGCTGGTCAGGTTGCAGAGGAGACCATTATTGAAGAGGAAGCAGAAGAGGAAGGAGCAGCTGGGGAGCTGCCAGTGGCCAAGAAACAAAGAAGAGAAGAAGTGACAGACGGTGTGGATGAAGCCAAGGTAACGTTCTTGGCCTTGGTGGCGGAAAGAAGTGGCTGACGAGGTGAGGAAAGAGAACGTTCCTGGGAACGGCCAGTGCAGAGGCATGAGGTTGGGAGTGTCACACACGAGGAGCAGCAAGTCAGCCCCAGAGGTGGATGTGGACTGAAAGGGAGACACGCTCTTGAGGGCAGCAGGACCCCCTTGGAGCTCAGATTGAGTAGGAAGCAGATGTGATCAGAGCGGAGCTTTAAGTAGATCACCTTGGCAGCTAAGTGGAGGATGGACGGTGTAGAGAGTGGCCTGAATCCAGGGGGCCAAGCAGGAGGCCAGGTGGTCACGCAAGCAGCTGTTGCGAGCGTAGAGAAGGACACGTCCGTGACAGATGGTATTAGCGTAGAAGGACAAGAATGGACATCAGATTAGGTTTGTGGGCGAAGTGATAGAGAATAAGAAGCCTGTGTGTGATAGGAGAGCTGAGGAGAGGGGAGTGTCTGGGAGAGAAAGAATGAGATCTCTTCTGGATCTGTCGAGTGTGAAACACCAATGGGACATCTGGTTGGAGATGCTCACCAGGCCCCTGGTAGTGAAAGACCAAAGCATTTTTTCCCCACCCGGGAGGTGGGCAAACACAAATGGACTCTGGTTTACTTTTACAGGAAGACCCAGAGAGAGAACTGCTACAGCAGCAGCTCCAAGAGGCCAATCGCAGGGCCCAGGAATACCGACATCAGTTGCTGAAGAAAGAACAGGAAGCTGAGCAATATCGTCTCAAGCTGGAGGCCATGTCCCGGCAGCAGCCAGATGGAACTGAGATCGCTATGGTAGAGGAGGTGGCCGAGGTGGATGCCTTAGTGGTTAGAGAAGAGGTGGAAGGGAGGGGGACAGAAGTTACAGGGTCAGCGGGGACTGCAGAACCGCATGCTGATGTTGCCATGGAAACTGTTGCATCCTAACATTCAGGCCTCTACCCTCCATCCCCCTTTTTTTTCTTCCTTTTAAAAAAACAACAGGAAAAAAAAACCATAAGAATATTAAGAAATATCGAGGACATTTAAAAAAAGAAAATAACAGTAGGACACAGCCCTGTGGGCTTAGGAGATTTCTTCATACAACTGGAAAATTAAAACATAAATTACAGGGAGATGTCTTCTGGGACCCAAAGAATGGGGACCAAATTTCTCAGCTCACAAAATTTGTTTCAAGCATAAAGGTTTGGGGATTTCTGTTTGCTCTTATAAATAGATCCCTAATTTTAAATCCCCAGAGTTTTATATTTGTTTTGATAATGCCCCCTACGCACCCAGGCTCCTTAATCATATTACCAGCACGTGACCTGAAATTTGCCTTGGACTTACAATGCATGCCTGCCTGCCTCCTAGATGAGATTTGGAGAAGAAAAGGGAATACCCTGTATTCAGAATAACTTGTTGATCTCCGCTGCCCTGATTTGCCTGCACTGAAAACAACTATTAGGCAGTTGCCTGACAAAACTGGAAGCTGTTTTATGTCACAGCAGAGGCCCCAGTTTAAGAAATTAAAGTCTTTGACAGCCAGGATTGCCAGGACTTAGAGTGGCCCCAGTGATACTGGAGCCTGGGAAGCCCAGTGGGACTCACCTGTGGGGTGTAAGGGCAGTAGGAGATGGGAGGCCATGTGGACAGTCCACGCAGGGCTATGGATTCAGGGAACGGCCTTTTTGTACTTGGTATTCAGCCCAGAACCTTCAGTTTTCTGAGCATATTCTTGACCTACCTGTGCCTTTCCCCGGTGTTTAGATTCACCCTGTCACAGATGCAAACTATCAGGGCTGAGAGTGTTTCATTGTTCTGTGTTCGTCTATATTGGGATGAGTAAATTTGCCTAATTATTTCTCTCCCTTCACATCTGCCTTCCCCCCAGCACTTAGTAAAGTGGTATTCTGCCTTCAGTGAATGTTAACACATGTTGAGTGACTAAATCAGAATTATCAGTGTTGTAAAATGAGGGGGAACCAAAGACTTTACCAAGGACTACTTAGAAAACAAAACAAAAAACATAGGCTATTTGAAAAGTGCTTTCTTCCTTCATTTTTCATATGTACCTGTGTAGTTTGTTTTCCAGAAAAAAAAATGTTTATAAAGGAACAAGGGAGAAGGGGAATGCAAGGGTGGGTTAGGGTTATATTTCAGAGAGGAGCCCCCTCCCCTCTCGCCTTGTTGTCTTTCTTCTTTTGTTGTAAAGCAGAGGAAGAAACCCAGGGAGAGATGAGCCAAGTAAACACTCAAATGACTGTTTAGAATATGGTTGTCTTAATTAGTGATCATGGGGAAAACATGCATTTTTAATTGGGAAAAAAACTTGACAGTTAACATGGCTCCATTTACCTTGATTAACCAAGCAATTTGATGCAGTTTTCCAGAGTTTCAGAATCAATTTGGCCTTAGAATAGATTGAAAACAGAACTTAAAAAACAGATTTAACAATTGGATTTGGCTCTAGTGCTGTATATTCGTTTAATCAGTTTTGGAAGTTGGTCTCAGCTTGTGGTTCCCTCAGCCAGGCCTCCCCCAAGCCTTCATCGTGGCCTTCATGGAGCAGGGTGGCTCTTAGAGGCTTCCCCTGGCCTGGGAAGGGGACCCAGCTCTACATTCTCTTGATTCCACTTGGCGTATTTTTTTTGTTTGTTTTTTAGCTTCCCTTTGGGAACCAGGGGTTAATTGTATGTGTGTGTGTATGTGTGCACACGCATGCATGTTCATGTATGTGTGTGTGTGTGCATGTGTTCGTGTGTGCTTCTGCGTGCACAAGAGAGAGATTTTGTAGTCTTAGATTTAGACAAGGCAAATGAGGAAAGCCGAACAAAGTCTATTTCAGGGGACTTTTGTTTTATATTCTCTCTTCATGTGTTGACTTGAATGCATTTTTTTAAATCCATAGAAGCTCTTTAGGCCAAAGAACCTTGGCTGCCTGGCATGATCTGGGTGATGCAGGTTTGTCCTCCTATCCTTCCTTTGTCTGGCATTTGTATGTTTCCTTCTGTGTACCCAGAACTCCCTCTTCCTCCCTCCCATTGATTGGCACATTGATACAAGTTACTCTTGACTTCTTTCCCCAAACTTCTTCTTTTCTGCCCAATTCTTTTTCTTTTTTTTTTTCTTAATTAAAAACTGTGGGGGCCTTTCATAAAGTCTTTAAAAGAAAGGTCATTTGACAATTCTACCCATGAAACAGGCCCCCGTAACAGTCAGTACACAGCCTGCTGGGAAACAATCTTGGGCTGGATGGGCCTTCTTCCAACAAGCATGTCAGAGAATCCTAAGAGATTGCCAGTGAAAGTGGTTAGCTATAGAGGCTTTCCAGTTTCATTGTATTGGTGAAGTGCCTCTCAGTAGCTTGGGGTTTCTGTTGCTGACTCCAGTTTGATGGGGACTTGACTCGTTGGTCTCCTGGGGTCTGAAGCTGAGGGGAGTGCTGCTGTTGGGACATGTGTGAGATCCTGGTTTGGGAGCACCTTTTTAGCTTCCCTCCGGGATCCCCCAGGATCCCCAGTGTCCGTGATTGGGTTGATGGCTTCTTCCCATTCACAGTCTGTGGGATCTTTTTGATTTCCTGTTAACTGGGGTGGGGGGGTTACCTAAAATACTCATCAAGATAGACTGGACTCGGGAGTGCCTTCTTCCTCATTGCCTGTTGCCTGGGGTGTGGATTGGCTTTCTAGAGATGGGAGTGATAAAAATGTACATCTGTGGATGGGAGTGTGATGGAAGTCACTGGGATATTGAATGGCTTAGCACTTGAAGGCTTTATCAATTGGAGTTCAAGTTTGGGATGGGTTATGTTGTCTTCAAGTAAGTTGGTGTATTGTTGGGGAAAGGATGGGCTTTTCTCTTGTCCTCCAGTTAGTCTTGGGGGCTAACTGCAGGTTGAGCTTCTCAAGCCATTCTCTCTTAGCCTTCAGCTAAGCACGCACTTTTGCTGATGTTTACTAATTGCATTTTTCTGCTGATGAAACTCTGCAAGAATTTCTTCCTCTTTTTTCTAACCCAAGGCTCTTAACTTCCAATATTTCTCGATGTTGTTTTAGCTTGCTTTCAGCCTCATGGGCTAACTCCCAAAGGGCCAGATACCTCTCATCAAGATTCACCCTGATGAGTGTCCTTCCATGGGCAGAAGCAGCAACACCCATTACACTAGTGGAATGGAAAATTGTGGGTACAAACCATGTTCCAACTGATTGACCTTGGCAAGATTCAGGAGTCAAGCACAGGAGGCATAAATTCCATGTTTTGATATCTCTTTCACTGCCCATTGAAAAGCTATCAAGTTCACTTTGGAGACTCCTGCCTCAGGCTAGGGGGTGTAGTTCAACTCCTTGTTTTGTTCGAAGTAGGATAGGATCCAGAACTGTTTTTACGATCAGCAACCCAGCAAAACGTCCTCGGGCAACTGATGTTGCAATTATTGAGTCTGATGCATCATCCAGCTGGTTGATGGAGTCCTTGGAGTATAATGACAAACTTGAGGAGGAAACTTTGACGCGTCGTTGTAAAAATGATCTTGTTGAGACCCAAGTTTGCGGAAGTTCTGCAAGGCCTTGTTCAGAGTAAACCCTGATTAGGCGTCGGACTTTTTCTATGCAGGCTCGTTCCCCCACAACCAGTTTGGGGAGGGAGAGGCTACAAAATGAGATGAAGAGACCACTTCTTCCTCTGTTTGATTCCTCTTGTGGGACTGCTTGAATGGCTTGTTGTAGTAGAGGGTTTTGATTGTTGGCATCCAGGATCTTCCCAAGCCAGCAGTGTCATCCCCACCAAGTTGATGGGCTTCGTGTCCATGCTTTAATAGATAACTGGGCCACTGGACTTTGTAGGTACTTTTTGATATTGCCTTCATAATAATAAAAAATTAGTAAGGTCACTAAACCATGATTGAAATGGTCTGCTAAGTCGACTCTTGCTTCTGTGATGTCAGTGACCCTGGAGCATAGAGGGTCAAGGTCTTGGGTGTCGTGAAAGATCAGCTTCCTTGCCCTAGCATATTCAACCCAACCTCAAGTAAGTCATGTAGTGAATCCATAATTGTAGGCTTGATTATAGTGTAGATTTTGATGCTTGTTAAAAGTTTTGTAATGAAACTGGTTTGGAAAATCTCTTTCTTCTCTTTTGAATTTCACCTTTACACCCTATATATCAATTCCTGTTTCAGTTCCTGAAGTACCTGATTTAACTCTTCCTCCCCTTTGCCCATTTCTTGAATGTCAGTATTCCTGACAGATCATGGAGGTAGGTGGTAGGGGTATTTTTCATGGTTACAAGGGTAAGGCTTGTTGGTGGAAAAGAGTGGACCAGCACACCCTGTCATTTTCATTCCTTTGGAATAGAGAGTTTTGTACGCAGGAGAAGGGAGGTAGGAGCTTGGTCTTTGGTTATATGACAGTGTTTCAAATCAGGGTGGCTTGAGAGGTTGTTTGATGTTAAATGATAGTAATTCCCATGTGTATTTTCTTGGGATTTGCTGGGGTAGGTAATTGCCCCAGCTCTAGGGAACCATGCAGCAGCTCCTCCTTACTTCATTTGGCTTTAGAGGGTCAGAGCAGGCTCATTGGCTGTTCTGCCAACAGAGGGTTAGATAGCAGCTTCTGTTCCCCAGGCAGATGGTTAGAGAGTTGGTACTAATGAGAAGGAAATTTGGGGCCCCAGGGGTTGTCTCTCTTAAAATAAAAGCTGCTTCAGAAATGTCAGTATTACTGTCAGGAACCCCCATGCTGACATTTGCATTTTAGTCTAAGGGTGATTTGTCTTATCCTTTCCTCAAAAAGGAAGAAGTTGGAATTCCTTCCTTCTCAACTTTAGGGAAATTGAGGTATGAGTTTGTAGCCCCTTCCCATCATTGCCCATGTGGGGACTTCACCATTGCAAGAACTAGTTTCAAGATACATATGCACATGATACAAACACACACACACACACAAACACACACATACACACACACACACGTTTGGTTTTATGTCTCACTTCCCCCACCCCACCACTGACCATAGCTTTAAAAAATACTTCCTCTCTATTCAGCAATGCCAGGAATCTGTGACATATAAAATGACTTGTTTTCTTTATTTTTGCTTTGAAAGGACTGAATTCTTCGTAGGGCTGTCCCTTTAGGGAGTAGAATTATTGTGACTCAGATGTTTTATTGGTGCCTTGTGTTTACGTGGGTGCATACATATGTGTATATATCTGTGTATACATACATGTATGTATGTATGTATAAACACAGACATGTACCTTTTCCACATTTTCTCTTCTTTTCTTCAGGGTTCAACTCTGAGGAAACACTGTGTAGAATGAAAGTGTTAAGGGATCTGTAAGAAGTATTTTTTTCTCCTTAGATTATTGCAAAGGCGGGAGGGAGAGAACAGAGACTCTTCATTCCTTGGTTTGGGCTCCTTTGTGAAGAGTGCCCTTTGGGCAGCTGTGAGGAGGCTGTGAAGCGAGTATCCAGGATGAGCTGGTACTGGGCTTCTAAAGGCTTTGCTTGGCATGTGGTGTGACTGGTTGCTGTGGGTGCTGGATGTTTTACAATGGCATCAGACATTGCAGGTGGAGCTTCATAATTCAATAGTATGGACTAGGCATCTCCTCTTCCTATGACTGTTATCCAGCCTGGGCTTTTGACTCTTCAAAGTAGAGCCAGAAAAGAGGGAACCGACTATCTGTGCCTCTCCTTCCCCAGTCTTGTGACCACATTGGGAGTCCCCGTCACCATTCTCCCAGTGATTTGTCTTCATAAAAAGTCAAATGATGCTGGGACAGAGTTAATTCTCCCAAAAAATGCAATTCTAAATGAAAATATTCCTTTTGTGATTTCTTTGGACGTCACCTTATGCTTTATTTTCTAGCTATGCACACCCAGCCTTGAAAGGCTGGAGGCAGAAATTAGGGTGAGGTGACTGTGGAGACTGAATGACCTTTATGCTGCTTTCTGTCACACATGATGGCTAAATGCCCCAGATTCCTATTCATTTGATGAATTCTCTGAATGCACACCTTACGTTC